CCCCTCCTGCCAGCTGCTGCCTGGGGTTTTTGCTCTTTTCACTCTGTCCCACTTTGCCCGACTGCAGATCTGCCCTGTCCCTTCTCCCTCCTTCCCCAGAGTTCCAGCCTCATGGGCTGGGGTGTGTGACCCCCTTTTGCCGACCTCGTGGGGAGAATGGAGGGCACTTTCAGCTCGGCTCAGAGCAGGAAAAACACCTCACGTCATCTGTCAGACAGCACCAGTCCTGAATTCTGTCACTGTGCTCCCACATGGGGCACCCTCACTGGCCCAGCTCCCCACAGACACCCTCCTCCTACCTCTGCTTTTCCAGAGTCTCGGCCCCCTCCTTCAAGCCACCAGCAAACAACACACAAATCCCCACTTCTTTAGTTTTCAGAGTCCTTTAGCCTTCTTTCTCATTTCTTTCCTATCTTGATTATTTCACAGGGTGGGTATGAGGTAGGGATTCACTTTCACAACTAAAAAGTCCTCTTAAAGTCAGACTCCTGAGACTTCCCTGGCGGTCCAGTGGTTAGGACTGGGTGCTTCCACTGCAGGGGGCACGGGTTCGATCCCTGGTCAGGGAACTAAGATTGGCAGGCCATGTGGCGCAGCCAAAACAAAAACAAAAATAAAAGCAAAAAAACCCCGTCAGACTCCTGGGATTCTAATTCTGCCTCCCCACTTACTAGCTGTGTGGTCTCAGGAAAGTTACTTAACCTTGCTGTCTCATTTTCCTCATCTCATAAAAAATGAGATGATAATTTTAGCTCAGGGACTTCCCTGATGGTGCAGTGGTTAAGAATCCACCTGCAAATGCAGCGGACACTGGTTCAATCCCTGGTCCGGGAAGATTTCACATGCCGTGGAGCAACTAAGCCCGTGGGCCACAACTACTGAGCCCACGCTCTAGAGCCCACAAACCGCAACTACTGAGCCCGCGCATTGCAACTACTGAAGCCCGCGAGCCTAGAGACTGGGCTCTGCAACAAGAGAAGCCACCACAATGAGAAGCCCGTGCACTGCAACGAAGAGTAGCCCCTGCTCACCACAACTAGAGAAAAGCCCACGTGCAGCAATGAAGACCCAACACAGCCAAAAAAAAAAAAAATTAGCTCATAGGATTCCTGTGAAGATTAAGAGCATTAATACATGTAGGAGGGCTTCCCTGGTGGCGCAGTGGTTGAGAGTCCGCCTGCCGGTGCAGGGGACACGGGTTCATGCCCCGGTCCGGGAAGATCCCACATGCCGCAGAGCGGCTGGGCCCGTGAACCGTGGCCGCTGAGCCTGCGCGTCCGGAGCCTGTGCTCCGCAACGGCAGAGGCCACAGCAGTGAGAGGCCCGTGTACCGCAAAAAAAAAAAAAAAAAAAAATACATGTAGGAATGTCTAAATTAGTTCATGAGAGAGTGAGCACTAAATGAGCATTTAATATTATAACTGCTATATTTCATCAGTTCTAAGGTGTACCTTTTTCCCCTCATTCTAACGTCTTAACAATCATGGTGTCTTAACAGCAGCTGGGAGCAGTTGTCATTACCTGTGCGTACTTAAACTTGGTCAGGTGAGTTTCATGCCTTCTCATTCCTATATCTGTTCCGTTTAATTGCTACTTAAAATGTCTTCAAAAAGTTACACTGTGGTTTAGCAGTTAAAGTTATTTTGCATACAGGACATGGAAACAGAGCGGCCTGGCAAGAATTAGACATTAGTGAAGCAAATAGTTCTCACTGAAGAATGACCGCAAGTCTGTCTTTTCTTATAAAACAACTGCCAAGTGTTTCATGGGACCTAAGAAAGGAAGAGTCCCACAAGCAGATGCAATTGTTATGTTTTACTACTGAGAAAAGTGCAAGATGATTGCCAGTCACATATGAAGCAAGAAAACACCTGCAGAAGCTTACAGAAGGAGTATCAGAGGCTTGGAAAGAAATTCTGGAAACATAGCAAACAATCTTATAAGAAATGGTGGATCACTACACTGCAGAGAGGGCACAGAGGGTGATACTGTGTAGAGAGATATCAAGGACTCGACTCGGAATCGAAAAGGGATTTAGGAAAGTCGGTCTCTGAATGTGAAGAAATTTTGGAACTATTTTAGCCAATTTGTTTTGCTTATAATTTCCCTTTTTTATGTGTGCATGAGTGACTTTTGACTAAAAGCTGATATCTACATAAATCCAAAAGACTTCTTTCAATATGTACAAAAACTGGGAAGAAAGATTTTTGGGGCCTGTTTTCCTCCACTGACTTTTAAAAATTATTTTTAACATAACATAAAACCTACCATCCTAACCATCTGTAAGTGCACAGTTCAGTGGTGTCAGGCACATTCACAGCGTTGTTCAACCATCATCCTCACCATCCATCTCCAAGAAAGCGTGTTTGTCACACTCAGTTATTAGTACATCACGCAGTTGATGGCACCTTGTTCCTCATAAGACACTGTGTCATGGTCACTGTAAACAAAATGCAACCTTCCCCTGGGGGAGCTCCTCGCCAGCCAGGAACCACAGCTGGAACCCTCCGGCTTCTCAGGAACACCTTCCACCCCGGCTCAAAGGTAAAGCACAGAGGACTGCCCTGGTGGTGCAGTGGTTAAGAATCCATCGGCCAGGGCTTCCCTGGTGGCGCAGTGGTTGAGAGTCCGCCTGCAGATGCAGGGGACACGGGTTCGTGCCCTGGTCCGGGAAGATGCCACATGCCGCGGAGCGGCTGGGCCCGTGGGCCATGGCTGCTGAGCCTGCGCGTCCAGAGCCTGTGCTCTGCAACGGGAGAGGCCACAGCAGTGAGAGGCCCGCATACCGCAAAAAAAAAAAGAATCCACCGGCCAATGCAGGAGACACGGGTTCGAGCCCTGGTCCGGGAAGATCCCACGTGCCGCGGAGCAACTAAGTCCGTGCGCCACAACTACTGAGCCTGCGCTCTAGAGCCCGCGAGCCACAACTACGGAGCCCACGTGCCACAACTACTGAAACCCACGCGCCTAGAGCCCGTGCTCCGCAACAAGAGAAGACACCACAATGAGAAGCCTGCGCACCGCAACGAAGAGTAGCCCCCGTTCGCCGCAACTAGACAAAGCCTGCGTGCAGCAACGAAGACCCGACGCAGCCATAAATAAATAAATAAATAAATAAATAAATAAATAAGGGAAAGCACAGCCCAAGTAGGGGCCCAGTCATGGTTGGTGACCTCCCCTCCTTCCACACTTGGGTCCAGAACAGAACGTGGGCAAGTCACGATCTCTCTGGATTTCATGCTGTAATCTGTAAAATGGGATCCATAGGCTAGATGACCTCTAAGATCCTGCTGGGTTCTAAATTTATGACCATGTGACTAAATGACCAACATACACGTACACAAATTTGGGCTGGGGGTTAATGGGCTACAGAGAGAAGTCATGACACTGCTTTTGGGTATATCGGGAGGTAAGAGATTTTACACTTGACCAGGTTAGGGGAGATCCTGCCCAGAATCAAGGGTCAGTGCACCACTTTCTCTCTCATGAACACTTTGACCAAAGAGGAAAGACCAGAAAGGCTGTGTGGCCCATCCAAGGGCACACAGCAACACAAGGGGCTCCACTCTTCAGTCTCCAGTCACTCTCAGATTTCCATTCCTGGGACTGTGACTTGCCCAGGGACCTGCTGGACAGGAGATAGAGCAGGGCCCAGAGCCGGTCCTCTTAGTCACACTCTGAGCTTGACCCTGCCTTTGGGTCCCAGGAGAGGGAGCAGGGCTGGCGGGATTAGAGAAGTGCGATGGAATGGGGCCGGGGGTACTCCCAGACCTAAATGTGTCTAGACCTCGGGCCAGAGTGGCGTTGATGGCAAGAGGTGGCATTGCCCAGATGCTGGGCTGAGTGGGCTCCGAGGCCGGAGGGTTGCTTGTTGCAGCCTCCCTGAGCCTGCACAGCTCACTGCCCCACAGAAAATGTCCTCCCCCTGTGGCCTGGGTGGCTCTGAGCTCCAGGGTGTGCCTAGAGCCTGTCACAGCTTCTGGGACCCTGACATGTGAGTTTGGGGAGTCGTGATCTCCACCTCAGAGTATTAATAATGTTATTAATAACAGGTGATACCAATTGATAGCTTGCTGTGGGCCAGGCGCAGCTCTGAGCACTTTCTATGCATGAATTCATTTACTCCAAACCCTAAGCCCATGTACGTTTATTATCCCTTTTAAATCACAGAGATGGACCACGGAACGGAAGCCCGCAGCTTGCTCAGTCGACCCCAGGTTGACTCCATCACCCAAGGCCAGGGTCCCAATGCCTCTGAAATCACCCCCTGCCTCCAGGCTATGGGAACTACTATTTGGCTGGGGTTTCAGGGAGCGAGTGAAGCTTAATGATTTATGGGTGACTGACTGCAAGAAAGCAAGCACAGAAGATACACAAAACATTTGTGCCTTGGAAGGTTCACATCACATCAACCAGTTATTTTCCACTCCATGCAAGAAAGAATAATTGGAGGTCAGACAGCAGGAAGAACTTCCCAATCACCAGAAGGGGTAGCGTTGACACCCTGTCTCATGGTCAGTTTTGTAAGGTGTTGCCCCTGCCTTGGCCAACAGTTTGAATCAGAGAGAGGGGTTTGGCGGTGCAATGCCCTAGAGAATCCCCCTAAGACGGGGGCGGTGGGGGCAGGGGAGGCCCTGGGGCAGCAGCCATGGGGTAACCAAGGGAACAAACACGGAAAACTAGGGGACGTCAGTCCTTATCTGGAGCTCATTAATGGGGAACATTATTCAGCTGTGAAGTCCAAGATGGGGTGATAGGCATGCTGCAGGCAGGGGTGGAGAGTGGGGGCCGGAGGCAGCCATAGGGGAAAAGAGGTATTGGCCCAAAGTCCACCTCCATCTCACGTGTCCAAAACCAGGCTGGAAAAACCCTATAAATGCCCATGACCAGCCTCCCCAGAGACCCTGAGAGAGAAAGACGGAGAGAGAGAGAGAGAGAGAGAGAGCCGCAAGCTTCCTGTCCCTGAGACCACTGGGCTAGCCCACAGAAGTCTCCACAGCATGTGGGAACTCCGATCCATAGCCTTCTCCAGGGCGGTGTTTGCAGAGTTCCTGGCCACACTCGTCTTCGTCTTCTTTGGCCTCGGCTCAGCCCTCAACTGGCCACAGGCCTTGCCCTCTGTACTGCAGATTGCCATGGCCTTTGGCCTGGCTATCGGCACCCTGGTGCAGGCTCTGGGTCACGTCAGCGGGGCCCACATCAACCCTGCCGTGACTGTGGCCTGCCTGGTGGGCTGCCACATCTCCTTTCTCCGAGCTGCCTTCTACGTGGCTGCCCAGCTGCTGGGGGCCGTGGCCGGGGCCGCTCTGCTCTCTGAGATCACACCACCAGACATCCGAGGGGACCTGGCAGTCAATGCTGTGAGTAGCCGGAACTTTGTCCTTTCTACAGGGGCAGATCCAGGGGAGTCTCTTATAAAGGATGAGAGGGGAGGGACCAGATCTGGGTGAGGGTCTGGGTGGGGAGAGAGAGAGAGAGACAGAAAGAGAGGGAGGGTGGGCGTATGGGGGAGGGGCAGAAATTCGAGAGCCAGGAACACAGCTGCCATAGGAGAGTCAGGGTAGAGGGAACAGTAATGTCTGAGCAGAGGCTGGATACACACGGGTCTACTGTACTTTCTGTCCTGAGCCTCTTGGAGGAAGAGCAGCATCAAGGTTTCTGTTGACTTGGTACCTGCATTACAGGGAGGGCTGCGCTAGGACTTGGCAGACGACAGGGGTCCCAGAGCAGACATGCTTTACGAGCTGGGAGGAACCTCAGAGGGCTAGTGCCCGGAATCTTCTCGAGGGAATAAGACCCAACATTTCTTCAGCATCTCCTGTGTGCAGGCCTCACAGCAGGGGCTCCTCATGAGCCACACGTTGATACCTCACACCAGCCTGCGAGGCAGGGATGAGAAGATCCATTTCTTAAGGTCACGGAAGCTGAGGCTCAAAAAGGGGAAGTACCAGAGCCAGCCTTCAAACCCAGGCTTGACTGCAAAACCCAGGATCTTTCCATCCCACCAACGTCCCCTCCCTGAGCCACCACCTAAGCCTTGTTTTGCAAACAAGGAAACTGAGGCTCAGAGAAGGGAAGCGACAGGCTAAAAGTCCTACAGTTTGTCAATACCAGAGTAAGCACCAGAACCCAGGACAAAGCTAAAGGGGCAAGGTCTCTCCAGACCTCGGAGAAGGTCCCCAGAGCCCAAGAGCTAACTGCTGATTCCATGAACAGTGGCTAATCGGGAGCCTTGGGCACTTTGGGAGCTGAGGGTGATGCCACAGCCCCTTCCCCCTCCCCACCCTCCCCCTCTCCCGGGTCTGTGAAAGGCCTGGGCATCTGAGGGCATGGGTGGGAAGGGACAGTCTGTGTTCCCTCAACACAGCTGTTGCTCCATCCCCCATCCCAAGCCAAGAAGGCAAGTGGCTCTTTTGTGCCTCAGTCTCCTGCATTTCTTGGCCTTCTCTATCCCTGGGCCTCTGGATAAGAGCTCTGATGTCTCTGAAGAGTCCTGCACAGTCTCTGTGACCATGCCCTCCTCTGCGCAGGTGGCCTTCCTCATGCAAGGGGCAGGGGTATCCCAACTGGAGAACTCTTCTCTTCTTCAAAATGGAAAATATCATTAGGCTGGGGGCTCAAGGCGGAGAAAAGGCGAGAGTGGCCACGGTGGTGGACAGACTGAGAAATCTGGCCGTTTCCATTGAGAATGAAATTAGTTCAGTCTGCAGCAAGATGAGGTGTAGTTAGACTGAGAGCATGGCCAAGAAAGTCTCAAGAATGTGTGACTGGGGAACCTCCTCTAATAGCAGGGCAATGGGAGTGCTAAGGGGCCATGAGGACATGGCCTCCTGCTCTCCCATCACCTCACAGTTGACTAGGGCCCTCAGAAGGGAAGGGTCTGACGAGGCCCCCCCAAGTTACTGCTCAGCACTTACCATCTTGAGGGACTGGGGAGAACCTTCCTGGCTGGAATGGGGCAGCAGCGGGACTGACTTGTCCTGAGGCTAGTGAGAGCTAGTTGACCCCCATGGGTGTCCCAAGTGTCCTGTGAGGTCACTGGAAAAGCCAGTCTGTCCACCAGGAAGTTACCATTGATGCTCATCTGCTTCGTGCTAGGCCGGATTTCCTCTCATTCTAGGTACAACACTGTAAGGTGAATTCTGTGATTCTCCACCCTGAGTGGTAAACTGAGGTTCAGCATTTAATTGGCTCAAATCACAGAACCCATGTCAGCACCTGGAAGTGGACCCAGAGCTGTCTGACACCAAACCCACATCCACAGTGTCTCCCTTAGATCCACTGTTTACCAGTGGGAATGGAGCTGGGGTTCTGCCCTTGTCATTTCTGTTTCTCAGACAGTCCTCCAGGATCCATTCTGTTATCCCAATTTTACAGAAAGACAAACTGAGGCTGAAATAAGTAGGGCCCCACAGCAAGTCAGAAGCGCCAAAGTGTCTGCCTTCAAAGCTCTTCACTGCCTCCCACTATAGGCTCTGACATTGGAAGACCTGCGGGGGAGAGGGGCATAGGGGGTGGTTGAAGTTAGACTCTAGAGAGACCCAAGGGTGCCAGCTTGAGGGCTAGGACCCGGGGCTGGGGTTCAGGGCCTGGAGAAGGACCGTGGGAGCTCAGAACTATCACAGCCCCACCCAGTGCAGTGCCCAGAGAGGGCAGGATGTAGGGCATAAGATGACAAAACCCAGAAAGAAATCCAGCACTGGGTGCAGCCCAGTTATGAAATCACCTCTCTGCTCAGCCCCAAGTTCTCTTGTTACCCGAGGCAAGGTCTGCTGGGACCATGGGCACCCCACATGGGGTGAGGAGGCACCAAAGTACAGGGCTCCAGCACCCCAACCTCAACCTCTGGAGGATGTGCAGGGAGCCAATCCACAGGGCAAAATTGAGGCCTGAAATGCAGTATGAACAGGCAAGGTCAAAGGGAACAGGCAAAGGTTAGAGGAAAGAGTTGTACAATGCAGTCACAGAGGGAAGGGGCACACTAGCGCCATCCCCAGAGCCAAGTCCCTAGATCTTGTTCCTGGGAGCCCCTTGACCACAGGAGGAAAGACCACAGGCCTCTCGTTACACCAGTATCTTATGGCTTAAATAGAGAGGAAGGTCTTCCTATTACCTGGCCTAAAGCTTCCTGCTGCAATCAAAACCTCTTCCCTCCTTGTTCTTCAGGAAGCAGAAATTGTGGATCTCAGCATCCTTTTCCTTTCACATTGCAGGCGCACAACCCCAGCTCCCAAATCTAATGGGCTATGGAGTCAGTTTCCCTGTCTCTGGCCTGGGGACCACAAGCAGTTGTAGGGTCCATCCCCCTGCCTTTGTGCCATGGCCCAGGAAGAAGCCATCAGTAGTTTGGACTAAGGTGGCTGGTGAGCCCTGATGTTCTGGATTGCTGCCCGGAAGCCTATCTGGAGCTTTGACTGCAGGTGGGCAGGAAGATGGCACCAGTGTGGGGAGCATGCTCAGTGTGTCCCCCCCACACCCTCTCTGTCCCCAGCTCAGCAACAACTCGACAGCTGGCCAGGCCGTTACTGTGGAGCTTTTCCTGACCCTGCAGCTGGTGCTCTGCATCTTCGCCTCCACGGATGAGCGCCGTGGAGACAACCTGGGTACCCCTGCCCTCTCCATTGGTTTCTCTGTGGTCCTGGGCCACCTCCTCGGGGTAGGTCATGGCCACTGGTTCCATCCTCCCTGGAGGGACAGACACACAGACCTACCGCAAGGAAACAGACACACAGACCACTCTAGAGACGGATACACAGAACGCCCAAAAATGAGAGCCACAAAGACCCCAGAGGGACAGATACGCAGAACTCCCAAGAGGGAAAGACACATGGACACACCCCAGAGGGTTTGACTCCCATATACCACAAAGGGACAGATACCGCTCCAGCTTCAAATGAATAGCGAGCCCTGTAAATATAACATGAACTCCACTGGATTCCCTTTAGGCTGAGGTCAAGCTCTGGAGAGAGGCACAGAGACTCCCCCCCCCCCCCCCCCCCGTATTGTGCCACAGAGCTTGAGGAATCTTAGTTCCCTGTGTCCTCAGCAGTGAAAGTGCAGAGTCCTAACCACTGGACCGTCAGGAAATTCCCAGAAGGAGAGAATCTTAGCCTGTTTTCTGCACTTGCAATCCACAAGTGTTGGAAAATTGGAAAGTGTTAACTTTGTATAAGACTCACATAGGACAAAATTTGACGTGAGATTAAACATTATATCCCCACTTAAGTGTGAATGTTGTTATATTTCACTGCAGGAATATGTGTGTTTGATTGTGGCCTATTGCCCCAGGCCCAGGGTTGTTAAATAATACCATACTGGAAAGCTGGATCTGCAGCTGATGAAGATTCCAAAAGAGATTCCATCAACAGTTACACTTTATCCAATCATGTCTTTAAATGCATTATTGTCCCTGATCCTATAAAAGGGAGGAGCCTTGGGAAGGCACGTCAGATGAACCCAGTTCAGAAAAGTGAGTCACACAGCGAGTCCTCAGCCTTTAGCTCAAGATTACCCAGTCTGAAGTTCAGTCTTCTGGAGGAGGTGAGTTTCCCATTTCGTGTGTGTGTGCAAGTGTGCATGAGTGTATATTTATGCATAGCTGTGGGAAGAAAATTCCTAGGTACAAAGATATGGATGTCTCTCAGACATGGGGGATGGTCGATTGTGAAAGCTGCTCTGGCTGTGCAAAATCTGGCCTGACTGAAGTAGACTTCTCCTAGGAAAGTCTGTTAGTCTGGCATTGCTTTTTGTTAATTTTATGTTCTAGTAATTCATTTTTATTGCATCTTGTGGCAGTGGAGGTTCACGGCCGATTGAGATGATGGTGGGGCTGAAAATGAAAGGGTGTGTGTCAGTTACCAGTGAATGCAGCACATGCTTCACATGTATTAATTCTTTTAGCTCCCATGGCAATTCTGAGCTGGGTGTCATTAGAGATCAGAGCCCCCATGACAAGGATGGAGGCCTGATGGGTAACGTGTCTGGGGCCACACAGCTTGTAAATGCCAGGCTCCAGGTTGAGAACATTGGCAGTCTGGGGGGTTTTTGTTGTGTTTTGTTTTTTATTGAGATATGATTGACATATAACATTGTATTAATTTCAGATGTACTGCATATGATACAATATTTGCATGTATTGGGAAATGATCACAGTAAGTGTAGTAACATGCATCAGCATTCATCATTACATTCCTTTTGCTTGTGATGAAAATTCGAAATATGGCAATTTCGAATTCCAAGGTCCTAGTAGTGCTAGGTCCATAATAGTGCTCCGTGGCCTTGTTTGTGTGAAATTGAGTGCATGTCTGCAAATGTGACCATGTGGTCTGTGTGTGCCTGGGGTAGTCCAGAAAGAGAACACATGGGACTTCCCTGGACATCCAATGGTTAAGACTCCACACTTCCAATGCAGGGGGCACAGATTCGATCCCTTGTTGGGGAGCTAAACTCCCACATACCATGTGGTGTGGCCAAAAAAAAAAAATATATATATATATATATATATATATATATATATATATATATATATAGAGAGAGAGAGAGAGAGAGAGAGAGAGAGAGAGAGAGAGAGAACTCTGCTCCATGAATCCTGCCCGCTCTCTGGCTCCAGCTGTGGTCACCGGCAAGTTTGACAACCACTGGGTAATGGCTGAAACCTCCCTGCCTTCCCCTCCCCCAGAAACCCATCTGGCTGGAAGAGCTTGGGGTGGGATCAGCAAACCCTCCACAGTCCTCCTCTTGGGGCCCCGTGGAGTCTTGGGTCCACCCTTCAGGTCTGACGCCAAAGACTCTGTTTCCACATCTGTAAATAAGGATAAGAGCAGTTGTTGCTTTGGCTTTTTGTAAAGATTAAGCGAGGTAACTGGTGTAAAACAGATGACGCAGTGCCTGAGAACTCGAGAAATGGCAATTATTTATACTACGTAACACATTTCTATTATTTAGCACTTATCTAGTACTTAGTATGTGCCAGGACTTCTAAGTGCTTTGCAAATATTGACTCATTTAGTTTTTCACAAGAACTCCAGAAATTACGTCTTATTATAGTGAGGAAACAGTCACAGAGAGGGTAAGTAACTTGACCAAGTTCACCCGGGCAGTCGGCTCCAATTCGCACCATTAGCCCCAATTAACAAGTCTTCCCAATTGCTCACTAGTCGTTGGTAACTACGTGCATACGCGTTTGATTACCTTCACCGCGTGAGGCCGCCTTGCAACGGGAAGGGCGACAGGAGCACTCCCGCGAGCCGCCCTCTCGCTCGCCCCCAGGTCTTCTGGGTCGGACCCTTGGTCGGCGCCATCCTGGCCTCCCTTCTCTACAACTACATCCTGTTCCCGCCCGCCAAGAGCCTGTCGGAGCGCCTGGCCGTGCTGAAGGGGCTGGAGCCCGACACTGACTGGGAGGAACGCGAGGTGCGGCGGCGGCAGTCGGTGGAGCTGCACTCGCCGCAGAGCCTGCCTCGGGGCAGCAAGGCCTGAACGCCTGGGCCGGGCTCGAGGGAGCTCGGGGGAGCGCCCGCCACCCCCGCCGGAGGCCCTCTCCCCAGGTGCAAAGCCGGCCCCCAGTGCAGAGTAGCTGCTTCCGGGACGTGCCGAGGCCAGGGCGGGGATAGCGGTGAGCGTGGCAGATCCCTTGCCTTGAGTCGGCGGGGCAGCGAGGAGTCGAGTAGTCGACCCCGTGGCGCCTTGCAGGGAGCTGGGGACTTGGGCACCGAGCTGGGGAGGAAGGGCAGAGGAAGGCTCTGGAGAGCCTGCGCAGTGTACTGGGTGGGCTGGGGGGGACGGGGTCTGGGAATGGGGCATCAGGTTTTGTGCGTTCATCCCTCAGTGCCTCTCTGTCCCCCGGTGCAGGGTTGTGCGTGCTACTGAGTGTAAGCCGGTGTGCCTGTGGTGATGCAAGTGTGCGATGGCTGGCCACCTCTTACTCCCCTCTTGACCCCTCCCTCCCCCACCTGCAATAAATCCACTTCCTCCTCAGTGGATGAGTCCTTCCGGCCATTCATCCCCAAGAGCTTTAAGTGTGCTTCCCAGAAGGGAAGAGGAGGGTATGGAGGCCACTTTGAGAGAGCTGAAGGAGGGGCACTGATATCCACCCCCTACCCTGCCCCTTCTGGAAAATTTCCCCAAGCGGCAGCGCTGGGTCCTAAGACTTGCCAGGACCCGTTGCTAGATGTAGTGAGGTATCAACCAGAGAACAGCTCCCGAAGTGGCCTTCGGCCGTGGGGTGTGGGGGGGGGCGGATGGTGGTGGTGTGAGTGGCCAAGGACCTCCTTCCTGCCCTAAGAGAGGACCTCGCCCAGGGAGGAAGCAGGCATGTGCGTGTGTGCCTGCCGCACAAGTGTACATGCGTGCGCCCTCATCTCCAGGGGGGGCTCCAGACTCCGAGATTAGCCTCCCACTGTGGCAGAGAAAACAAAAGGCCTTTGTAGGCCCCTGGCCTTTGTCTCGGGAGAGGGGGAGATTTGCAACTAGACACTTCTTGAAAGGAGACACTCAGTTTCACAAGTGAGTCCTCTCGCCCAGCACACACCTATGGCTGGCTGGGCAAGGCACTCAGGCACGCAACCACAGGCACCAGGCAACACGCCTCCATCACGCATCTCACCGCCAGCCCCCCTCCCCAGGCAGAGCTCTTCTTCCCCTCTCTCCCTTCCACCCCCCAGCCCTGGTGCTCCCTCCCTTCTGGCTCCCACCACAGGAGATTACTGTGCAGAGAGCACCCTAGTGCTCTCAGGACCAAGGAGGGAGATGACTTGTCCAGGCAGAGGCAGGACTGTGTCTAGAGCTGGGCTTCTAAATTTCCAGGCCAAGGCAACGGTTCTCAGATGAGATGAACTAGGATTAAGTGAGATGATGCATGTAAAGATGCTGTGTGAACTGTATTCCTCATACCATTATTATGCATTATTGGGATCATTTCGGTATTTCTGATTCCTGGGGGGAGAATGCAGAAGGGGCCTGACCTTTGGCCTCCTTTATCTCCTTTAGTTGGTGGTCAAAGCAAAGGAGAGCCCTGGGGCCCCAAGGTGCGGGCAGGAGATGGGTTTGAGGCTGGCCCCGTCTGGTCCAGCCCCTTAACCTCTCCCAACCCTGAGCACACACTGGCTGTTCTCCCCTCCCCTCTCCCCACCACCCAGACCGTCCATTCTACCCTCCCTCTCCAGCCTGCTGCATAGCTAACCTAAGAATCACACCTTGAGCCCCCTTCTCCATGCTCTGTTGCCTCCATGCTTTCAAGGCTTTTATCTGTGTCTGTCCCACACTGCACCAAGCACCACTGTGCACCAGTTTCCAGCCCCTTTGGGCCCTCCACTCCCTTCAGAGACTGACTGTGTATGAGGAACACATCTCTGTAATTATGCCCACTACCTCCTCCATGCTCTTGTCTGCTTCCTGTCTTCCTTGACCAAGCCTCCCTTCGGGTTAGAGGGTCATAGGTGCTATGGAGATGATTCTCCCAATCCCCGACAGCTGATGACAGTCGCTTAGCCTCACTACCGGGGGAGGGGTCGAGTCAGAGACCAAAGTGACTTCTGGGGCTGTACTCCTGGCAGCTGAGTGTCTTTGCTCTGGAAGTTCAAGGGCAGCAAGGCACTGAGCTGTGAGCCAAGCCTGGATGTGTCTCAGGTATTTCATCCTCACCTCACCTCTACCCAACAGATCCCTCTAGAAGCTGCCAAGAATTTCTCTCTAGTCTGTTCTTCTTCCAAGATTGCATCTCCCCCCGCAAACTAAATGTGAGATCCCCACCACTTCCAGCCCCGATTGCCCGGTTTGGGGGTCACTGAGGTCAGAGGTCAAAGCAGGATTCAAGTGATGGGTGGGGAGGGGAACTGACACCTATTAAGCATCTCTTGCGTCCCAATTTCTGTGCTGGGTGCTTTACCTGCGTTAGCTCATCTAATCCTCCTAAAACTTCAGACAGGCTAGGGAAGGACAGCAGCCAGCAGTCATGCTGGGTTTTACTTTTTCCAAAGCACTCCCTTATCATCTCCTGTAATTATCTCCCAACCCCTTGAGACACGGCAAGCAAATACTTTCCTTCCCATTGTAGGCTGAGGCTAAAAGACTCGTCTAAAGTTACACAGCTGTATATAGAGCTAAAACTTGAACTCAGGACTTCTTATGAAAAATCTCATGATCTTTCCACTCAAAAGTCAGACGAGACGAGGTCTGTGCTGAGGCCAATCCTAGGCCCCTCCTGGGAGCCCCTGGCAGAAACCAGCGCACACAACCCAGCCTGTCCAGCCCAGCCTGCTGCCTTGTGGTAGTCATGGGGCCTTGGGGAGGGCCGTGGCCAGGGAGGGAGAAAATGACAAAGGCACGAGCTGGTTTCTGCCCTTGAAGAGCACCCAGTCTGGAGGAGGGTGGATGTCAAACACACGCCAAACCAGACAGAGGCAGGGAAGCATGGAGGCAGATGAACAGAACTTCAGGTCCCCAAGCTGGAGACTGAGAGGATTCTGAGCTGAGGGCAGGAGTGGCTGACCACGGGGTCCCAGCTGCCTCCACCTCCGCACTCCCACTTTGTGCCAGATGACTTTGCACCTGCACGTGTTGCTTCCATATTGTTTTTTATCTTTTAAGCTGTGATTCTGTATCTAGGCAGTACCTCCCAGCTAGACTGTGAGCCCTCTGCCGGCAGAGCTCCTTCCGGTTTTTGGATGGCACCCTCCTCTCTATCCTCCCTCCGCACACAGTAAACACTCAATAAATGCTCATTTGTCAATAAATGCTGTATCTTTCACAACTTAGAAACGGTCCGTTCAGCCCAAGGTGCCAGAAGACAGACTGGGGGGTCTGTGGCATGTCATGAGCTTCCCAGAGCTGCTGCTAGGGATGGTGCAGAGGGGATTTCAGTGCTGAATAAGCCCAGCTAGGAGAACTCTGGTGGCCAATTCCCACTGTCAGCCTGGCCAAAATGTGCATGCTGGGCTCTGTCACCCAGGTGGCACCACAGGGAGGCCACCGGGACATGGGCCGGCTGTGGGTCCTCCAGAGAGAGCGAAGGACAGCCCCTTTCGGTGCCCTCATGCTGGCTGTAGCACCACGTTGGGAAGTCAGGGCAGGGACCCTAGGGTCTAGGACGATGCCTGACACTCAACATGTCCAAAACTGGCCTTCTGCTCGTCTGCCCAAACCTGTTTCTGCCACAGTCCTCCCCATCCCAACTGATGGCAACTCCATCTCTCCAACTGCTCAGGCCAAAAGGCTTGAGTCATCTTTGACTCCTTCTCACACCCAGCCCTGACTCCACCAGGGAACACTGTCAGTTCTACCTCCAAGGGATCCAGATCCCATCGCTCTCACCTTCAGCACCCGCACTCAGCGCCAGGCCACCGCCTCCCCCACTTCCATTCCCGCCCCTCCCATCTCTTCTCTATACGGCAACAGAGGCATTTGTGTTAAAACTCTGTCAGCTCGGCAACAGAGGCATTTGTGTTAAAACTCTGTCAGCTCGTGCTAGTCCCCGCGCAATGACTCCGTCACTCTTTCGAGTGAAGCCTGTGGTCCTTCAGGTGACACACAAGGTCTGCCCACTGCTACCACTCTCTGCCCTCCCTTCCTCCTGCTTCAGCAACACGGGCTGCTCCCTCTGCCTGGAAGGTTCTTCCCCAGATAACATGCACGGTTCTTTCCCTCTCCTCTTGAAACCAAGCAGGACCCTGGGGGGCTCCTGGGCACAAAAGCCTTTCTGTGTCCCCTTCTCTGAGTTCCAAAGGGCAGGTTCAAACAGTTGCTAATCAGGGAAGGGAGGGGATATGGAGACAAGGAGGAAGCAGTCAAGAAACAGTAGTACAGCCTTGGGGGCAGGGTCCTGGTTCCCCCTCAAGGGATATATACATAATGTTATCTATCTTTGAGCTCTTCTGAAGAACTAAAACCCTCACCAAATGGAAGATGTGATGAAGCGCTTTCATTCCAGAGAAGGTCACAGTTCGCCCATCATAACCTGACACCAGATGATCTCTGGATTGAAGGAATGCGGCCCCTGCATGCACCCTGATCCTTATCGGCAACCCTGCCCCTGGACTATAAGACTTCTCACAGGCCCCCCCCCAGGGTGGAACACACAGTTTTGAGGGCATTAGCCCGCTGTGGCCCCCTTTACCTGGCAAAACAATAGAGCTATTCTTTTCTACTCCACCCCAAACTCTGTCTCTGAGATTTAATTGGACGTTGGGGTACAGAGGCCAGATTCGGCTTCACTCTTCAAGTCTTTGCTCAGATGTCACCTTCTCAATAAGACCCACATGACAACCATTTAAAATGCAAAGAACCAGTTTCCCATAACATATTCTATTTTTCCATAGCACTTAACCACATTCTATTGTACTATATAATTTCAATATGTCCATTGTTTATTGTCTGTCTCCTTTCACTAGAATATTAGCTCCACAACGCAGAGACATTGTGTGCTGGCTCATGGCTATATCCCCAGTGCCTAGAACAGTGCCTGGTACATAGTAAGTGCTCAATAAGTCTTTGTGGAATGAATGAATGACCCTTCCCCAAACCTGGGGATATGTGGAGTCCTGGCAGCATCACCCGCTGCCAATTACCCTACCATTTCTACCCTCAGCCAGAAACTGCTCCCAAAGAACCAAGGGGGCCCAACATCAGGAGAGGAAGAAGGGGTCCCCCCCCCGAGAGATTCTAACTTTCTGTGCCACACATGGGAAGATCCATCTCCCAGCCCAGAGTGGTCCCAGGGAAGCATTCCTCTGGGTCTGTGGCAGGGCAGGGTCCAAGTGCTCAGGGCAAAGATAATTCCAGCATATAGGCGCTCTTGTGACAACCTGGGGACAGAGTAACCCTGATGGTTAGAGAGAGGCGGAAGGGCTTTAAGCACAGGCCTAGGAGATGTAACCAGCTGCCCCCACTTGAGCAATCTGGACAGATATGGTCTCTTTCTTCAGCCACACCAGGCCACTTCTGACGACGCCGTGGGTCCCATCTCAGGTCATGTGTGACCCTGGGCAAGGCAGAACCTCTCAGTCTGATCTTCCTCACAGGTAGCTCGGAATTTAATCACACAGTGGAGGCCAAAGCCATTTGTTGGCTGTAAAGGATTGGTCTCAAATCCTCAAGTAGGAGCTTCCTTCCCCTGGTGACACTGCCGAATCCTTCCCACTCCACGTGTGGATTCACAACAGTGCCTGAAGAGAGAGGATGAAAAAGAAGGTGGAAGGGGGCAGACTGGAGGCAAGTTCGGCAGTGAAAGGGCTTAGTCCCCAAAGGCCTCTGGGGTCATGAGGGTCATTGTTCCAGTCTGTTCCAGTCTGAACCAGGCCCGCAGAGCCCTGAGCCCTAAGCCCAGATGAAGATCCTGAATACAGCTGCCATGCTCTGCCAGGGGCAGGGCCCCAGGACCCATGGCAGAAGGGACAGATGGGCCTCCTGCTTTAAGAGGAGAGACCTGGGGGAGGGGCTACTCCAGCAGGAAACCCCGGGCAGAGCAGGAACAATAGCTAGGTTTCTTCCTTCCCTGTTTTCTTTGGCATCTTAGCTGCCAGAGCCCACATCCCGCTCCTCCAGGTCCTTGGCTTCCCTCCACGCCCCTCCCTTCAGCCCCCTGACAGAGGAGCACCTGTCCTCTCCCTCTGCTGCACCCTCTCACTTTGCTCCACACAGAGCCTCAGGGGGGTTTTAACGTTACAGTCACAACTTGAGGAAACTTTATCGAGCCTCACTCTGTGCCAAGCACTGTGCTGAGTGCTTCCCAACGACATGTCATGGTAGTCGTGGTGGGGTCTTTAGTGCATCTCCACTCCTGGAATCCTGGCGGTGGGTCCTTGCCCCTCTTCCAAGCCCTCGAGGGCCCTCCAGCCTCATTCCCCACATGCCTAACCTGGGGGTGGGAAGGGGGAAGAATGGGAGGGGTGGGTGGAAAGCAGCTGGGAGCTCAGAGGGAAGGGGCAAGAAGTGGGGTGGGGGGGCGGCGAGGAACGGGACAGGAAGGAAGTGTCACCGAGTCCAGGGGTAGGAGGACTTGACTTTGGGGGAACTAAAAAAGACCAAATGTAAGAGAGACAGACATGGAAAAGGATGTAGAGACAAAGTCATAGAGAGTAAAATCACATAGAGAGGAAAGGTGAAATACAGTAGATAGGATGGCTGAGTCCGGCGCAGGCTGGCACGGTGCCCACTTATCTCAAAATGCCCCCTCTCCAACCCTGGAGGCCTGCCGGGCCGAGTTGGGGAGAGGCCCACGATGGCCAGACCGCCCCGCACGGCCCTGCCCGCCGCCCGCCCCTGCCACCGGCCAGTAGGGAGCTGGATGGCGGCGGCGCTGTCCTCAAGGAAGCGCATCATTCCAACCTTGCCGGGGGCCAAGCCCGGTCAGGATGCCCAGGTCGCAGGAGGAAAAGGAGGAGCTGGACCCAGCGCCGGAAGACAAGAAAAGGGGAAGATCATGGCCAGAGATAAAGGTCCAGCAGAGGCAGACGGCCGGAGGTCGGTAGGACGGGAGAGCCCGGACCCGACGAAGTCTCCCGGGGGGCCCGGGACAGGCAGCGCGGAGTAGAGCACGGGAGCCGCCCGAAGCGCACCATGCGCGGGTCCCAGGCAGCCCGACGGGTCTACCACCGCCAGCCGGGTCACGTGGCTCGAGCGGGCGGGCTGCTGCCCGGGCTGGGGGGAGGGGAGCGCGGGGCCGGGGTCAGCGGCGAGACCGCGGCGGCCTTGAAGTTCCCTCCCAGCGCGCAGTGCTGGCCGCCTGGTGCGGGAGCCGCCCACTGCCCCCGCCCGCGCGCCCGCCCGCCCGCCCCGCCGCGGGGCGCCTGCCTTGTATATAGCGCGCCCCGCAGGGCCCGCGCCAGGAGGCGAGCCACGCCGCGGGCGCCAGTCTCCGCGGCCCGCTAAACCGCCGCCCCGACGTGCGACCCCTGCGGGGGCTGCTACCTTGAGACCATGAGGCAGGAGGTGTGCTCCGCGGCCTTTCTCAAGGCAGTGTTCGCAGAGTTCCTGGCCACCCTCATCCTCGTCTTCTTCGGCCTCAGCTCGGCCCTCAGGTGGCCGTCGGCGCTACCCACCATCCTGCAGATCTCGCTGGCCTTCGGCCTGGCCATAGGCACCATGGCCCAGGCCCTGGGGCCCGTGAGCGGTGGCCACATGAACCCCGCCATCACGCTGGCCCTCCTACTGGGCAACCAGATCTCCCTGCTCCGGGCAGCCTTCTACATGGTGGCCCAGCTGGTGGGCGCCATTGCCGGGGCTGGCATCCTCTATGCGGTGGCACCACAAGATGCCCGAGGCAATCTGGCCGTCAACGCGGTGAGTGCCAGCGGGGCTGGTTGTGGGGCAGGGACCCTGTGGTGGGCTCTGGACCTGGCCCCCAAACCCCATCTCCAGAACGGGTGCCACAGAGTGGTCCAGTGCACACCTCTGCCAGGAAGGTCACAGCCTCCCAAGGCCGGGAAGATGGATCTCCATGTGTGCCCCTCAGCCCACTGCTGTGGTTCATATTCACCTCCTCTGCCTGACCCCCTCATGCCGCCCCATCCTAGCCTCTCTCCTGGTGCCTGCCTACTGCCCCTCTTTTCTCACCCAAAACTTCTCTCTTCTCCTGTCTTACCTCTGAGCTCTCCTGTCCTCTTGGGCGCCTCATTGCTCCTGTGTGCTCCTCAGTGGAGTGGTCTCATGGAACCCTCAGAGAGAGGTGGGTCGTGATGCTGTCTTCTGTGGCCCTGGCCTCTCCCGGTCTCGTTTTTCTCACTCACACTACGTGGGAATGGCCATAAGAGCAGGGACTATTATGTGGGACTCCTGCAAAACAGCAGGAGTCAGGGAGTTATGTTTAGAAACCGTGCTTGTGAACTCCCTGATGTGGGGCCAGTGCATACAGTCTCTGATGAGTATTGGTTCCTGCTCCTGGCCCCCTGCTGCCTCCCCCTCACGCAGCCCCAGATTCAGCCCCCATGTCCCATGCAAACTGGGTTCATTAATCAAACACAGAGGAGGATTTTCTCGGCCATTGTCAAGTGGTGAGTCAGCCCCACCAGAGAGACGGGTTTGAGGTTGGAACTGGCAGCGGGTCAGGCATAGGCGGGAGGCTGGCTTGGGGGGTGCCGTAAGCAAACTGCGCAGCTGCCCATAGGAGGGAGGGTAAATGCCAGCTTGTGGGGCCTGGGGACTGGGCAGAACGAGCGACAGGCCTGTGTCCAGGAAGCGCTCCCCTCACACTTGCTCTTTAGCCGCAGCTTTGCACTCCAAGCTTTGTGCTCACTGCGAAGTATGTAGTCTCTTCAGCAGAGGACCTCCCTGATGTGACAGGGCTTGGCTTCCAGGTGCTCAGGCTCTAGGTGTCCCTGGAGGCCAAAAGCCCATCCCCCCAAGTCCCTGGCCAAAGAGCCAGAAGAAGGCAGGGTCCCTAACACACCCTTCCCTTGCAGCTCAGCAACAACACAACTCCGGGCCAGGCCGTCGTGGTGGAAATGCTTCTGACCTTCCAGCTGGCGCTCTGTATCTTCTCCTCCACCGACTCCCGCCGCATCAGCCCTGTGGGCTCCCCAGCCCTGTCTATTGGCTTTTTTTTCAGCAACAACACAACTCCGGGCCAGGCCGTCGTGGTGGAAATGCTTCTGACCTTCCAGCTGGCGCTCTGTATCTTCTCCTCCACCGACTCCCGCCGCATCAGCCCTGTGGGCTCCCCAGCCCTGTCTATTGGCTTGTCCGTCACCCTGGGCCACCTAGTGGGGGTGAGCAGTGCTGCCCCTTGGGGCAAGTAATGCGGGATACCTGCTGGGCCCATGAGCCTGGCAGTTAAGGCCTGGAGTGGAGCTGCTCTGCTCTGGCCCAGACTTGATCCCCTCAAACCTTCTCCAGTCCGAGGAAAGATGGAAGTGAGTGGGAGTTGGGATGGGGGCAGGAAGCCAAGCCCAAGCGCAGGGCAGAGGGGAGAGGAGGGGTCCGTAGGCACCTGTGGAGGGAGCGGGCAGCAGCCTAGGAGTTGGGAGGCAGCTGGAGGCCTGGCCGAGCCCCTGGCCTGCCGGGGGACCCGGGCGGGAGTGAACAAGCCCCCTCCTCGCCGCCTCCCTCTCTCCGTGCAGATCTACTACACGGGCTGCTCCATGAACCCGGCCCGCTCTCTCGGCCCCGCGGTGATCACAAAGCAGTTCAGCCCCTCGCACTGGGTGAGTCTGGGCCTCCCCGGGCTCCCTGGCAGTGAGGGCCTAGAAACCCGGCCTTAGCAGCTGACAGCTAACAGGACTTTCCGGATGACGGGGGCCTAGAGCTTGGGGGTGGCTGGAGAGAGAAGGGGATGCAGCCAGAACAAGGACAGGGGCGGGGGTGGGCGTTTTAGGCAGGGGAACCTGGTTTGAGGGGAGGGGCTGTCTACGTGCGTCTGTCCCTCTAGGGAAGGGAAAAGGATCTGTACTCCAGTCTTGCGCTCTGAGGATTTTGCTTCCATCTTTCTGGGTGGTGGGGGGCAGGGGATCCGTGTGTCTGTCCTCTTTGATGTTTTATTTATCTGTCCCTGTTGGGGGAATGGGGAGAGTCTTCCTTCCTGTGGGTCTGTCCCTCTGGACAATCTGTCTGTCATCTCCTTTGAGAGCTCTCCAGAGTCTGTCTCTATCCCTGTGTGGAAGGGAGAGGCGTTCTGTTCATCTCTCCAAGGATCTCCACGTCTGTTCCCTCTGAAGGTTCATTTGTGTCTCTTTAGGGTGGGGTTGGCGGGGCCCTGTCCCTCTGGAGATGTCTGCCTCCTCTGAGGATCTGGGTGTCTGTGGTCCATGTCCCTGTCATTGGGGAGTGGGGTGTCAGTATATCTGCCCCTGAAGTGGGGAGAAGTCTTTCCTTTGGGAGGTCTGGAAGTCTCTCTGTCTGTCTCCTCTGAGAGGCCCATGGGTCTGTCCTCTGGGGGCGGAGGGCTTGGTCTCTGAGGCCTGGGGCTCAGCCCACTGCACCGCTCTGTCTCCACCAGGTGTTCTGGGTGGGGCCCATCATGGGGGCTGCCTTGGCCTCTATCCTCTACTTCTACCTGTTCTCCCCCAACTCCCTGAGCCTGAGTGAGCGTGTGGCCATCATCAGGGGTGCGTCTGAGCCCGAGGAGGACGGAGAGGAGCGGAGGAAGACCATGGAGCTCACTGCCCAGTGACCAGCGTCACGCAGGGGCCAGCCTCTCAGCCCCTGAACCGCAGGGGGAAAGGAGAGAAATACATGACGGCAAAGCTTCCTTCCCCCGCAGCTGGGGAGGAGGTGCTGGCTCCCCAGGCTGAACGGTTAGAGTTGGAGCAGGAAAACAGGATGGGACTCTTGGGGTGGGGGCCAGGGGCTGGGGTCTGGTGGGGAAGGGGTGTCTCTGGCACAGGGCAGACTGCTGCAGCGAGGTCAGACCTCAGGGATTGTGAACGCAGTGCTAAGCCTGCAGGCTGCCCCAGGCCACGCCAGGAAGGGGTGGCTGGCAGTCTGTGTCCCCTCTGTCTCCCCAGCCCCTCCTCAAGAGCCAGGGGGATCCCAGCCCCCGGGACAGCAGAGGCTGACCCTCCCCAGAGCTCTTTAGGAGGGAGGCAACCTGGTTCATTACATGCCACCTTATTTATTTCTGCTCAAGGATGCGTGGGGTAGGGCTGCTGGTGTTAGGGGCGGAGGCTTCCCAATAAACCACCGACATTCATGTTCGGCCTCGTCTCTCTCCAGAAGCCTCACCTCAGGATACTCTGGCTCATCACCTCTCCTCATCATCATCCCACACCCTCTTCCACCGTCTCCACAATCCTCTGTGGAAAGACAGGGAAGCTGAGGCCAGGGGAGGCTTAGAGAGTCAGAGAGGGGGTTGGGAGGAGAGGGAGAAACAGACCAAATGTAGCAACAGAGCTAGAGGTCAGGAGGGGGCAGTGGGAGCAGAGAAGGAGGGGTCCTCACCGAGCCCAGCCTCTACCAGCCATGGTTCCCACTGTCTTCCCCTCTGGGCCTGTAGCTCTGCCCTTACCTGCCCTTGTCCCCTTGCCACTGACACTCCTTAGGAAACCCCCTTAAACTCACTAAGCCTCCCGTCTCTTAAGCTATAAGGTGAGGATAAAAAAGGCTTTCCTCACAGGGTCGTTGTGGGGTCAGATGAAGGGAGGGAGTGAGATTCCTGGGACTGGGCTGCTCTCTGTGGCGAAAGGGGCACACAACAGCTCAGGACACAACTCTTCATCAGAGTTACTCTGGCTTTGAGTTCAAACCTGGTTGTGCAACTTTGGATAACACAAGCTCTCTGAGTTTTAATTACCTCATCTGTAAAATGGGGATACTTGTACCCATTTCATGGATTGTTACGGGGATAAAATGAAACAATGGATAAAAGGGAAACACTTGTGCAAACAGGGACAGGCACCTCAGATCGAGGGCTCGATTTGCTAGTGTGAAGAAAAACCACCACGTCTACAGCTGGGACCCCAGCCGCACCGCAGTTCTGGGCCTCTGCTCTCCCGAGAGTGTTTAAACCTGAGCTCGCGCTTCTCTCTGGTGTGGGAACCTCTCCCCCGTGGTTTTCAGTTTTGCCTCAGAAGAGGAGGGCCCAGCAGGGCCAGGAGATGGGCTGAGAAGCGATGGGAGAAGCTATAGACAGTGGCTGGCCAGGGTCAGTCCCAGGGGCTGGGGGTGAGGAGGGGCAGACTCCCCAGCCCTCCTCCAAACTTGAGTCTAGTATATGTAAATGGTTGCGGCAGCCGGCAGCCGGCACCCTGCCCTGCCTGCCTGACGGCTTGCAGTTAACACCAAATGGCAGTGTGTGTGAAGCTCCGGTAAAGGAGCAGTCCCCCACCCGCTGCCTCCACCCCTGCCCCTACCCAAGAGACCGGCGCAAGTGCCAGCTCCGACCAGCAGGGGGGGACCTCGTCCACCGAATCCACCGCTGCCGCGCTTCCTCTTCCCCAAGTCCCGGGTCTGGGCCAGACGCAGCGTGGAGGAGAGGGGGCCCTGGGGAGTCTTTCAGGTCTGGGTCCCCTGGGCCACCAGGAAGCAGCTACCCCCAGCCTCCCACCCCCACCCCACTGTCTGGGAGTGGGTACAGAAGAGAGGGGATTCCTCCGCCCGCCCAAGGGCTGCCAGTTTCACCTGGTAGGAAAGTGGACAAGGTAACAGGATGGAGAGATGGAGGAGGACTAGGGGTCAAGGCCAGGAATAGACAGAGGGTTCTGGGCAGGAGGAGGGGTTGCTGGGAGGGTCGGCTCTCTCAACCCCAATCTGAGCCTCAGCTTCCTCCTCCGGCGTTTGTGGACGAGAATATCAGACCTCCTCGCCAGACTTCCACACAAGACTCAAGTGAGGCACGGCCGTGACTGGGAGGCAGGCCTCTCCAGCCAGCCCAGCAACTTGGTTCCTTTCTCCGACGGGCCCCACGGGGAGCATGACGGGGTGAACGGTGGACCTATGAGGGACAGGCCCTCAGGGATGGGCGGGGCACCCAGTCCGAGGGAGGTACTGGCCAGTCCGAGGGCGAGGGTCCGCCTAGGGCATGGGGCTGACTAGGTGCCGCGGGTCGGGCAGTTTGGCCAGCAGAGGGCGCTGCGCTCCCTGGTGTCGGATCCTCCCCGCGCGGCTCGAGTCCGGGGCTCCCAAAGACCTGCGCGCGCACGAGCCCGCACACGCTAGCGCCGCTCCACAGGGATCTTCGGTTGTACCCAGCGGGCTCCGTCTTTCGGCATAGACCACTCATCGCCCGTCCCCCATTCCCTGTCACAGGGCCGCTCGGGACCAGACCCAGCTGCCTGGCTCCACGTGTTCTCAGCGAGGTACACGTGTGTGTCATATCCAAGCACACACATGCTCAGTCATCCCTCCGACCCTCTGCTCCACCTGAAGACAGAACCCAAAAGAGCTTTGATTCTCCTGTAGGAGGCTTCCTCCCCTTCCCCTCCTTCTCTGCCCAGGGGCTGCCAGTTTCACCAGGTAGGAAGGTGGACATGGTGACATGATGGGAAGATGGAGGAGGACTAGGGGTCATGCAGAGATCAGACAGAGGATTTGCTGTCTAGATGGATGGACAGGAGCAGGGGCTGCCGGGAGGGTCGGCTCTGTCAGCCCCCCTCTGAGCCTCAGCTTCCTCTTCCCACCATTTTGTGGGGATGGGTGAGGGGATACAAGGGAAACTACCTTGAATCTTTCCCTTTCTGTCATGTTTTTATTGTCCCTTCTCATCTCTTCCAGTTCCCTCCTCCTTCCCCTCCTTCTTGCTCCCCCATCCTCTCCAAGCCCTGAGAGAGAGCCTCAATCAGAGCTCACATTGCCCCTCGTGCCCACACACACACCGCACACACATCTCCCCACAGAGACGCCCAGCCCACTAGTCTGGGGAGCCCAGAGACAGACCTCTGAGAGGTTAAGAGCACACAGCCACCTGACAGGCAGCTGTAGGCAGCCAGGTGTGGGGCTTGACAAAAGCTCTTGGACCAAGAGTGACCTCAAAAGCATGCTGCTAGGGCCCAGGACTGGCTGGGTCCAGGGACATGCTGGCTGGAGCTGGAGCAAGTCCTGGCCCATGTCCACCTGTCCTCAGGGGGTGAAGGACCTTGTTCCAGGCCAGGCAGGGCCCCAGGAGGTTCTGCTCTAGGCCAGCTAGAGACCAGGGCTGCCACTACACTTAAGGCTCTCAATCTCCAGGGCCCAGAGCAGGGGCCTCAGGTGCTGCTTGTCCTGGACCCTTCCCACCCCTGCACGGCCCTCACAGCCGTCTCGCTGGAGTGGGAAGGGAGGTGACAGTCCTAATAACCAACATTTTCTGACTGGGGGATGCTCTCCTAGGGAGGTGGGAATTATCATCTCCACTTTTTTTTTTTTTGGCCATACCACGTGGCTTGCGGGATCTTCGTTCCCCAACCAGGGATCGAACCTGGGCTCCTGACAGTGAAAGCTCAGAATCCTAACCACTGGACCACCATGGAATTCCCAACATCTCCACTTTAAAAGTGGGAAAGCTGAGGTCACAGGAGTTAAGCACTGGTCAGGGGTACAGAATATGTGGCAGGGTTCAAATGCTTTCACTTTCTTGTCTTATCAAAGGTTCTCAACAGACAGGCATTACTGCTGTTTGGTGCCTGTGTACAGGTGCAGAAACTGAGGCTAGGTAAGATGTAGGGACTGGCAGGTGTCTGTCCCCAGGCCCTGTATGACCCTGTCTGAGGGGAGGGAAGGAGATAGATGCCCGTGAGATTCCCTGGGACAGCCAGGGAAATCCCCCCACCCTCACCCCCCAACCCCAGGGCCAGAGAGGAATGTCACTCACACTACATTCCTTCAATCTTGAGCATTTCTTGGAAGACTCCTTCATGCCAGGCAAGCCTGGGAGTCTGCACTGGAACGGTGGAGGCACCGATGAAGTCAAAGCCACAAGTAGCCACTGGCTTTGCCCAAGCCCAGCTTCTCTACAAAGCTTGCCCTGACTCTCCTGGAGGCGAAAATTAGGGCAGGCTTCATAGAGAAATTGAACTTGAGCAAAGTCTTGAAAGAGAAATAAAGAGGAAAGGCATTCCAAACCCGTGGTCTCTCCACTACTCCGTGATTACCCAGGCACATTATAAAGAAGCAGCCAGGAGAGGGAGAAGTCAAAATCGCAGATGAGGCTGCGAATGGCCAAGAGAGGGCCCCGGTTGCTCAAAGGGAGCCGAGAACACAAGGAGGGGCCCCCTGACGCAGACACAGGAGGAGGGCTGCCTCTTCTTCAGAGCCAAAGGGAAGCTGGTGAGGGCGAGGGGCAGCTGCAGGTGAGTTTGCGGCTGGGGGGAGGGTGGGCTGGAGGGATGGGGAGAAGTCTTGCCAGCTGGTTTCACTTTCTAGGTAGGACAGGAGGCAAGCAGATCTGCTGGAGGAAAGGCAGAGCAAGGTAGGGTACTTGAAGAGAGTACGGAAGGTTTGAAGTAGGGCTTAGGAGAATGGGGAGAGAGCCGCCTGGCGACGGTGTGGTGTAAGTATTGCTGAGCAGAGCTGTGACCCCTACTGAGGCCAGAGACCATGGACTTGTCATGGCGGCAGTCTGCACGGCTGGGCGAGTTTCTCCAGCAGCGCTCAGCAGGTCAGATGGGGGCAGAGGGGTGTGGAGAAGCATGAGGATGGAGGGACACGGTTGGGGGGCGCGGGGTGCAGAGAACAGGGAGCTGGGACAGAGGGCACTGA